GCGAGATGTGAGTCCCCTTTCCTTTCCACGCACACGGTCCTCGGCGGCCCTTAGGAGAGGGACCCGACCTCTGACCGAGCCTAATTCTGAAACCCGGAACTGCAGCTGACTCCCCCGAGGGCCGTGGGCATGTTCAGTGCGCATGTGCAGGCTCTGCCTCCTCCCCCCCCCCCCCCCCCCACCCCCGGTCCCCTCCCGCCGCGTTCTCCGCGCTCACGGTCCTCCAGGACGGGCCCCGCCACCGTCTGCGCGCGGCGGCCACCTGTGCGCACGCGCGGGGGATGCCACGGCCTTGGGCTCTTCACCCGCTCGCGCCCTCCCGGGCGCGGCTGGGTGCTGCCCGGGACCGGGGAAGGGCTGGCTGCTGGGCTGAGCGCCGGGCGGCCCCGCCGGCAGTTCCCGCAGCCGCCGGGACTCGGGGGAGCGCCCGCACGGCCGGCGCCACCCTCTGCAAGCCGCGCTTCCCACGGAGGGAGTCACCCAGGGCCGTTTCCCATCCAGCTGACTTGACAACAATTAAGAAAGTTTTTAATTAGCTTCTTGTTATCCTCCGTTTTATTAATTTCCAGAACTCTCGGGCCATGAATTATTCAGAGAGCAAGCCAGCCCGAGTGGGGTGGCCGCGCGTCCGCGTCGCGCGCGCCCCGGCTGGACTGTGGCCGCGTTGCGCGCCTCAAGTCGCAGAGGTGCAAGGGTTTGATCAAATATTAAATAACGTAATTATTGCGACAAGGCTTATCTCGCAGGTGAAAAAGAGGCCCCCGCGAGAACTTGATTTCAGCGGCTTTTTTTTTTTTTTTTAAATCAATTAAGCTGGTGGCCTCCGTTAAAACAGCCCACGAGGACTGTGTGGCTCTTCCGGCGTGGCTCAGGCTAGTGTCGCGATGACAGTGATGGCAGAACATTATCCAGTATAATTGTGGTCGTCACCTCCCCTCTGGCCATCAAGACTCTTAGAATAAGGTTGGGGACACTGGTTTTTGCCAGTCAAAAGCTCCTATTTAAACTTGAGGCACTAGAGAAGGAAAGCCCATCCACTTGCGAGACAGAATAGGGGTTTGAGCAGGTGACACTCAAGCCAGGGGCCCAGACAACAAAGGTGAAGCTGAGCCCGGGGCTGGGACTTACCAACTGGGTCTTGCTCTTGGCCCTCTCTCTGCTGAGACCAAGTATAAGAACTGGACCCAAGTAATCTCATCATCATCACAAGAAAGTAAAAGCCGAAACAACCATGGCGGTGGGTGCCTACGGTTTATTTAACAGCTTATAATTGAAGTTGAGAGTTAGAACAGGCATTAGACAAAAATCTATCCAGAAGTCAGCTGGTGGATGCCCAGGGCATCCTTTCTTAGACCTACAGAAAAAGCAGAGCCCCATGAAGAGTTCGGAAAGCAATTTTAAGAGGAAGGTAGCAGGTGCATTCAAGACATAATTTTCTCTTTCCCTCTCCTATTCTGCTCCTGCGTGTCCTAAGACTCAGAGCCCAGTTCTCCCATCCTCTGAAACCTGTGTTCTTCAGAGTTCAGAACCACGCGTTGTATTTCCACCCATTAGCGGATGCGGGAGGAAAGCCAAGGTTGGCGTGAATTGTAGACTTTCAGAACCAGAGAACTTGGAAAAGACAAAACTAACACGGATCAGCAAACCCCTGCCTTATCTTCACGAGTTTTGATTTTCAGTTTTTTTCCGTGAGCTGACAACTAAAGAAATCTTAAAAGGGCGTTGTCAATCCTTCCTGCAGTGTGTACACTCTCACTCACCAGAAAGCAAAACGGTTTTTTTTCTTTTTGGTTTTGCACAGTTTCCTACTACATAAAATAGGAAACCCTGCAAAGCAATGCATTTTCACGATGTTTTATTAACATAATAGTCTTTTTTTTTTTTTGTCCTGGGCAAGGATTTACTTAATACAAAACAAATGCTTAAATTCTTAATACATACATTATCCATTATCATATAATACAAATGTATTGGCCTGCAACATTTCTGTTTGAGCAGATTATTAGAAAAACGACCTTTGTAAATCTTTTTATTTGTTCATTCCTGGATCTCCAACAATGAAATCTGGTCATACTTTTTCTATAAAATAATGTGTTCTTTTACAAATGTATTTTATTAGAAACTCTGATGATATTTCAAGTCAATAACAGAAGCAAACCAATTTTGATGGAAGAGATCTATTTTTAAAAATACCTCTAGTGCTTTTTAAAATATTAACAACTGTTTTAAAATCACACCTTTTTAAAATGTACTATTCTTTTCTGAACATCAGTTTTCTTTCACAGATATGCCGGTGAAATTAAAAAGATTCAGCTAAAATAGGATGACTTCGGAGGATATAGTCCCAGCTATTAAGAAAGTTTGTACATTTGGCATTTGATCTAGTCCCAGGTCACCAAAAAATAGAAAACCTCTTGTCAATCTGGAGCAATTGGTGGTCCCCATAACGTTCTAAATGAAGAGAAACGTTTGACAAGTTATCTGGACAGATCAAAGGGTAGTTTGGGAATTTATTAACTGTCAACGAAAAGCCATTTAGTCACAACATTTTTAGAAGTGTTTTCAGAGTAGAAGTGCACATTCGAACTCCCAGATGCCTGTGTCTCTGACCTTCAACTTAAATGCTTTTCAGAGGCCTGGTTATTTACAACTTTCTATCATCACTCTGAGCGGACTGCTGTGGCTTAAGTTTCTGTAATTAAAATCAAAACTTTGTTAAAATATGGGCAAGTAATTCATTTTACCCAGAGCACCGGTTATCATGAGTTATCTGAAACTGAATTCTCATTTAGAGAAAACAAAAAACAAAAAACCAAAAAAATCTATTCTCATCCTTTCACTTTCTTTGATGTCCCTTTATTCTTCCTACTTGTTTGTTTTTAAAACTTTTAATTGAGTTGTTTGTTTTCTTTTTTTTTTTTTTTCTTTTTGTGGTCTGTCTCATTTGTTGAACAGCTCTACTAGGACTTGGCTCAATGCAAACACAAAAATGCACCCGAATCATAAAACTGCTCTTCTTTCAGTTATGTTTTATTTGTAAGTGTACTGGGACACATCTCCCTGTTGTATGTTGGCGCACAGAAATGGTTCTGATGGGGGGAGGGCAATAGAGCAAAGACATAACCAAGGATAAAGCTCCGCAGACACAACATGGACAGGAGGACCAGTCCGTGAGACGTTCAGGATTAACACTGGCAGTTTGTGTGAGCCTGTGCATGAAAGAAATTATTTACAATAATGTTGTGTTTTCAGTGGAAACAGGCAGGAAACTGTGAAATCACACTATCCACAAAACGGTCTACCAGAAAGCCAGCCCAGTTTAGTGCTCAGTTTCAAATGCATAGAATGTTTTGTGCTGCAAACAATGATATACAACATAATTAAATAAACAACACCTAACCAGAGTGAGACCTAAACGTATTTCCTTCTGCACCTTTCAAATCATGCATGATTTCTGTCCTGTTAACAGTAGTGTTTCCCCCCTTGTCTGTTCTGTTTCCATCTTTAGTTATGGTTAAATGATAATAACAAATCATCTCCATGTGAGATCCAAATAGCATCTTGTACACAATGCAGGCATTTCACCAAACTACCTTCAACTGTTTTTCTCATTTTTTTTTTTAAATCCATTCAGCAGCTTGGATTATTAGTATGAAATACCATACACGATTTTCTATTTTGGAAACTCATAGTGCAAATCAAAGTTTTTGAGACTCAACATTTATCCCCAGTAATAAATGATCCTTGAACAACAACAACAATAACAACAACAATAAGGAAACAACTGTCCTGCTTTCCCCAGGTAAGTGCAGACCTATTTGAAACAAAGGTGAGGGAGGGCCTTTAAATATTTAAATGTCTTCCTCTCGTCTGGGATTTTAGGTGATTTATTCTTAGAGCCCACTTCTGCCCTCAAAAGAAAGCAGAAACTTCCCAGCTTTTCAGCAACTTCATGTTCTCCAAGAGAGAGAGAAAGGGGACCTAGAAGAATAAGGTGAGTCTTCTTGAGTGGGGAAAGCCCAAAATGGAAGGAAGTTTCTCCCCCCTAAGATCTTTCACCCTAGCATTCAATTTGAATTAGTAACAAGTGCCAGAAAGATAGAATGAATCCGGACTGAAAAACAAAGGGCAAGATAAGGGAAAGCTGTGTAAGTAGGGTTGGAAGGGAAAATATTATTTTCAGAAATTCTGTTTACGGAGATGTGAACTCTGTTTACAGAGATGTGAAACTCTTACTGTAGTTGTTATAATCATTTAATTATCCCAGAATGAAGTATTTACTTCAGAGAACCTAATTTCTGTGTGTTGGACTCTCTGTGCCTAAAGACCTTCACCTGACCAAGACTAGGCCACAGGAGTGTGGCCCTGGCGCTTCTGGAATGTAAAGATTCCTTGTGGAGGGCTAAGAAGGCTCCAGCACCTGGGCTGAAGCAGAGCCTTGGAGTCTCTTTGGAAGAGGGAGTAAACCAAAGAGGGTATGGATGGGAGGATGTAGGATTTTAGAAGGGAAAATTAAACACAGAACAACTAGCTTCCTACCCAGAAGTTCATGCTCCAGTTTGGTTTTCATTTAGGACTCACTTGTGTGTGCGAGGTTGGGGCGGTGGAAGCGGTGGTATTGCTGTTTTCTCCTCCTCGGGGGATACTGTTCCCTGCAGTTAAATTCCTAAAGCATCTTTGTCTCCCCCACCTCCTCTTTATTTGTGTAGGGTTTTATGTCTTGTTTTTTTTTTTCCTTTTTTTTTCTTTTCTTTTTTTTTTTTTTTTTTTTTTTTCCTTTTTGGTGGTTGTTGGTAGTTTTGTCTTTTTACATAGTTCCTTGGTCCCCACATCTTGGTGTCTCTGGTCAAGAAAATGGTCCACCCCCAGTTCTCCCCTGACCTCTCCCCCCCACCCTAGTCCCCAGAACCATCCTGCTCCTCAAAACCCCGGGCTCCAGTCTTTGCTTTCTTCCCCCCACGCCCTGCTCACCCAAATGCCCCCCATTCTCTTCTGCCTACCCAACCTTTCTCCACACCCAGCACCCCTGTTTTCTAGGCTGGGGGACTGTCGGGGCAGGGTGCAGAATGGGGCTGAGGAAAGGGCAAGTAAAAGGACTCCCCAAATGCAGGCAGGATAAAGGATGCTCTAAACGAGGGGGAAAGGGCCAGGGGTGAGCCCCAGAAACGCACCCCTCAGTTCCCCAGTCTGCCCCACCCGGCACCTCACACCCTCCTCAGTAAGTGGCCGAGAATTTCATCCGCTTCTGCTTCTGTCTCTGGTTGCAAAACCACACCCGCACCACGTTCTTTTTGAGGTCCAGTTTCTCGGCGATGGCTGCGATCTTCTCCGACGAGGGCCGGGGCTGTACGGCAAAATAGGCCTCGAGGGAGCGCTTCTCGGGCGCGGCGATGGAAGTCCGCTTGCGCTTCTTCTCGCCGCCGTTGAAGAGCTCGGGCTTGTTCATTTTCTCACGCTGCGCGCCCTCGGCCTCCTCCAGCCACGCCTGCAGGATGGGCTTGAGCGCGATCATGTTGTTGTGCGAGAGCGTGAGCGACTCGAACCTGCAGATGGTGCTCTGGCTGAGCGAGCCCACGCCCGGGATCTTGAGGTTGGCCAGCGCCGAGCCCACGTCGGCCTGCGTCACGCCCAGCTTGATGCGCCGCTGCTTGAAGCGCTCGGCGAACGCCTCGAGCTCGCGCGGGTCCGTGTCCGAGTCGCAGATGGACGCCAGGCCCGCCGCGCCCACCACCT